CTCTCAAGTTTCCTGCGCAAGACATCTCGTGCCAGACCCGGTGGAATGGATGTAAATAGTGATGTCACGTCAAGGGAAACCATCATTTCGTCTGATTGAATCCTCCGGCCGTGGAGGTCTGTCAGGAATTTGGAGGCTGAACGGAGTGAGGCATCAGAGTTTTCTTGAAGGAATTTTAATTTCGAAAGCAGAAGAGAATTTTTAAACTGATTACGCTCTTCATTCCCTAAAAAGAATGCCTTATCTCATAGTTGCACTTTCGTCAAACTCATGAACACAACAGGAAGATTTCTGTTCTCTGAAAAGGTATACCTAAAAGGTTTCTGGGTTTTATTTACATTCTTTTATAGTACAACAGGCAAAAGCCAGAACTTTTTGTCCGCAGAGCTTTGCAGCGTAGGAAATGCCTTGAATATCGATAAATTGTGGACTTTGTCAAATTCTGCGCCTATACTATACCGATCTGAAATGAAATCTGTTCTACTAAACGTTATCTTGCCTCTCGGGTAAATTCAATGAATAAAACAAACAAAGTCGAATGTGTATTGACCCATCACCTTAAATGTCGATCTTCATATCCCGGATAGCAAAAGTCTACGGTCGTTGCTCTAAAGGCGTAGGCCTGTACTGCAGTGTGACATGAAGGGGGTGGCGGCGCGGGGGAGGACAACGTTCAGCTATGGACGCTGAGCGAGCGAGCAACCCCAAGCCCACGCCGGGGCATGCACTACAGTGGCAACGCGGGGAGGAGAGAGAAGAATGCTTTATTTTGAAGGTAATATCTAGGCCAGTTGGCGTGGGCAGAGGGGGGTGACGCCGGCATGAATTCGTGAGGGCGAACACAGGGACAAGCAGTTACACTAAGGCGACTTACGAATCTAGAGGGGGCTAGACTAATCTAGAGTTTTGCTATAGGGATTTCACCATTTAGGCGATCAACTGTATAAATCAGATCCAGACAAATGTGAAGATGCCGTTTTATATGCCTTTTCGATTGACCCAGCGTGCCCAGGGCACGTTGACAGAAAAGGCGCGACTTCGAAAACTGATAATCCTGTGCACATGCCTATTAGGTTGATATAATTATTGTAGGTTCGCTGAACTTCCTGAAATAAGGGCAGCAACCGATTCACAAACATAGAATGCCCTTTTGAGCAACAGCTTACTGAGAAAGAAAATCTGACGGAGTAAATGGCACCCTGACCGGAATGGGTAGCCCACACTTCCCACGAATGGAACACAGGCGATCTCAAATTGCTCAAGCCTTCGGACACGTTCATGGCCTTCGTGTGTCGTGCCAGTGCAATGATGTTGGCCGGAAGTCCCACGCGGCTCAATTGCAGACAGGTCATCGTGAAGGCGTGTTGGCCTTGATTGGGAATTCATGCTGCCCATTAGGAATGGTCATAAAATATTCGGCGTTTTACTGCACATCGTCTTCTAGGGCTGCATAGCTGAAAGCTGATATGTTGCACAAGTCAGAGTCCAAACCTTTAATGCCTTGCCAGGTTACCCTCTGGACGAGCAAGTTTTCTATCACAAGACCCACTGAGTTTAAAAGGGCAAGAAGGCATGTAGGCCTATTAACGGAGACACAAGTGTATAGGTTAAATTGGTGAATACATCGCCTATACTAACGTGCCTGCTAATGTT